GAATATAGATAAATATATAGTATACTTCTTTTATTTTCACGTAATTTGTTTCGCATTTTTTGCTGAGTTGTCCACTACTGTTAGAACAAAGATTGTGATTTGATGCCAAATAACAACAAAGAGAGACAGACAATACAAAAAACCAAGATGTCCAGTAGAACAATAGGCATTGTTTGACAATAATCCTACAATTCTTGTTTTTGTTGTCTCGATCAGGCTTCGTTCTGGCGTAGTGGTCCGCGACCCTTTTCTTTCATTATTTGCAGAATAACCGAATAATTATTAATTTTTTGTGTTTTGTTTTTGGGGGTTCTTCGATGTCTTCTATTTGAAACAATCCGGTTTTATGTCTTTCTTTCTTTTTAGATTTATTTGCTTTTTTTCTTCTCTTTTTTCATTTTTTTAAATATTTTTTTCCCTTTATCAACCCTTCTTTTTATGTCCTCATAATTCTGTCATCTCCCATGATTTGAGTTGCACAGATAGGCAAAGCTTACAGTACCTTTTTAACGTATACAGCTGTTTGGACTACAGCTAACATGCTTGATGCACTGCTTAGCCCACATCCAATCCAAAGCTTAGAGCCATTGGCAAGTAAAGGATGATCATTGAGGTCAATGTCAAATTCAATCTCAATTTTGCTGTTTTCACTCRATCCAGAACTGACCTGCAGATACAGTCAAAAACAAATTTGTGAAGTGAAAGGAGGCATGVGATGCATGAGAATGAATAGGTGTAAAGAAGATGATTAAATGATAGATGGGAACAAAAGGATCACGACACAGGTAGTATGAAAACTATTTGTTAATGTGATATTTACCGTCAGATTCTTAAAGTCCAGTGTTACTCTATCGTAGTGATTCAGGTCTTGGGAACTTTTATGATACTGTGGTGTTGGATTGAGATCCCCACCACCAATATTGGATCCCTTCTTGGTGATTTGTACATTACGKATGCCCATAGACGAGAAGTCATTGATTGCGGTGGTGCATTCGTGTGCCAATGGAAAAGTTAAGGTAGGTAAATCAGTGATCATCTGGAACTTCAAAGTAGTGTCTACCGTGATAACTACAACAATGACAGAAACGATGTAGTTAGTTTRCACTGAAACGCGCATAAAATGTATATCATGTATAATACTCACGAGAAACTCCAGGCGATGTGAGTCTTGTCAAAGTTATTCTAGGGAAGACTCCATACAGTGTCGGTGACGATGTTGAAGGTCCAATTTTATAACTCGATGCTGTAGCCTCACAGGAAAAGTACAGATTCGCCAAAGGAGGGATGGTCGTCTTTACTTCGGCTTCGAACTGGATTTTCAGAACTTCATTTTTAKTCAGGGTGGCAGCGGTGAAAGTTAATTCTCCGTTATTCACTCCCCAGCTGTCAACTGATTTACTTTGACTTATTGCTGCTTTGTCAATGACAGACAGAAACTTAGACGAGCATTTGAAATTWAGGGAAGAAGTTGGTTGGGGGACCGCTATGGACTGGTTATGAGAAGCTGTCAGATTGAATATTATCTTGTCCCCTTGATTGTAAAATGTGTTGTTCGGAATGTTTGGASTGACGGTAATAATTCCTGAGGGGGAGGGTGAAGGGACGCTTCGTCTAACGATGTGATGATTCACGGATCGACGTTCTCTTCTCTCTGACTTCACAACATCAATTGATATTTCTGTCGATGCGTATTTCCCGTCAATATTCGCAGCAGCAACATGTAGAACAAACGTAGTTGTGCTTTCCGGTTTCTTTGCCACCCTTATGTTCCCAGAGTGCTTTTCGATGGTGAAATATCCAGCTTCGTTACCGCTTGTGATAGARTAGATGATTTCTCCACATGGGCATGGAGCATCTGGGATGCATTTCTTCTTATCGTCATCAACAGCAACTGTGGCAGCAACAAGTGCGCCTGGTTCGACATCATCTGATATGTGCGCCTTGTATGAATCTTGATGAAACCGTGGAGCGTGCTCATTGGCTAAGAGGAAAGATGAGATATGATCATGATTAGAGCGAATTTCGTATAACTGTGCAAAGGCACGAATCACGGCACGGTCACGGAACCTTGCCTGATATCAACGCCAAGTGAAATAAAGGATTCACGAACAAATCACCGTCACAGCAATTTATGGCTGCACGGCACGGCACGGTTACTGCACGGCACGGTTACTGCTCGCGGAGGGTGCCGTGCTTTTTCCACAGTCATACGAAATCCACTCTATATTTATCAGTGATAACGATATCGGCACCAACTAAAGCAGCCATACTTACCAGACTGATGGCAAGATTTGCCTTTCCAACATGCATTACATTCACAGCCATTTTCATGGCAAACTCCATTCAAACAGTTGACGGAAATATGCCTGAAAAATAGCCAAATCTTGAGTATAGAGAATCATGGCATTTATCATTATCATTTGCTGTGACAAAAYGGGATATTGTTTCAAGTTAAGAGAGCAAACTTGTTTTGTTGTTTTGCACCCCAGATGAACTAAGCTGTTTGTGGCATAAAATGTGCCAATATAGTCCGTTGTACCCTGCTAACCCTGCCCTTATCATTGACTGCACATGATATATATCATAATTCGATACACTGAAGTTGTACTTTCGGAAAGAATATTAATAGATCCAAATTTCCTCTCGGTTTCCGCGAGTGTCAATTGTCAATATGCTGTAACGTCACTATGCCATATATGGGGCAATCAGTTGATGTTACCTTTTACATTCAGCTTCACATTTCCTGCATTCGGATTCCAAATCCAAAGGAGCAAAAGATTTGATRAAGAGCCTCTTGTACAAGTCTGCTATGCTCCCCCAAGTTGTACTTCTTGTTTGAATGCAATGACAGCTACAATCACCTTGCTTTACGATGCGGCACAATTCATCTGTACATGTATATCAAATAAAAAAAGCTAAACTAAACTAAAACAACAAAACACATAACTGCCCTGCATGCAGAGTAACTAAACCTTTAATAAAACTTTGTTCATTATATAAAAGATTACTTGATAAAGATCGACTGAACAAATTCTTATAAAAATAGCCACCACCTACAATAGTTACGACAAAATTATTCATTGCMTCACATAATTATTCGTTTCATTCATTTATTAGAATTCCCTGTTTGCTCTGTAATTTTTAATCAGTTCAATTAATGCGCACATTTTGACAAATGCATGACAGACTACTATCGCCAATTTGAAATGTTTTAACTGGCATAAGTCATCAATTGTGAGAATTAATTTAAAACACAGTTCACTGTTTACTTTCCTGTGCTACCAGATGTTTTCAAACGGTTCCAATTTTTTAGTTTGCACTGCTATTTCAAAAAACATTGACAACTGTAATACTGCAAAACGTATTCCAAGACCGAAATGCATTGTTACGATATTGGGTTGCACGTAAGAATTACAAAATGACAATTCTAAACTAAATTGCTTTCTATCGAAGAAAAAGAGTAACTAAAACCGTGAACAACACTGAATACATGTACATGACACACAACCTATTCTGACATACAATCTTCTACAATATAAACGGGTCACTTGGGATCYCTTCCCCTGGTTCGTTAGAATGATGATATCTTCGCGTATTACCAGGAAGAATCATGTCTTTTTGTGGTCCGCAAATAACATTGTCGAGGGTTAAGGGGTATATAGAACCYAACAATTTTAGATGTCGCTCATTTTTTTTGCCGAAGATTGCAGCTTTATATCTCATAATATAAGTCGATAAGTCATGTCATGCCCAGGAGTATGTTATTAAGTGATTCGCTCCGTATACCAATAAATAGTTAAAATACGACTTCATTTTTCATTGACAAARAGCAGACAAACTAACTGTAGTTAGTTTGTAGTTAGTTTTGACAAAACTATATGAAATCTAATGSCAGATGTGGAGCATCTCTTCTAATGGAGTGGTTCCTATGAACCGTACACCAGTGAAATGCATAGTAACATAGTACACGGTATATTACTATTTATTGTACTAGGAAAGTAAGAACATTTTGAGAATGTCTATGGCCTCAGTGATTTTTGAAAAATATCTAACGCTTTTTTTCTAATTTTCGATCGATGTGTCGCACTTTGTTACTCCGTAGTTTTTACACTTGCTCTCACGCGTTTTTGAATATATGATATTGTATTTCAAGAAACAAAGCGAAAAAAGGAATTTATCACATATATACACACTAGAATAAAAAAAGGCAATAGCAATTGTATCAGGTTTCTCATTACTGTGATGTACAAATACGAATACTAAATGGTCATATCATGTAAGGTTTGGCAATAAGGATATCTCAAAAACATTGGGACGATATATTCTTATCTATCGCTTCGACTGAAAAGCAAAATCGCAAAACGTCACGAAAAACCGTTGTCATGGCTATGTGTTTCATGTACTGTGCTTCGTTTGACAGTCATCTCCACTTGGTAGTCTTAAAAGTATTAAGAAATAAAAATATATTGCTTACTTGAGATGATGGCATCACAAAACTGAACTGATTTAAATCATTTTTTCTTAGGTTTTAATGGTTATTTTTTAAAAACCGAATTTCTGCAATTAAAAGACGCTCCGTAAAGTGTTTATCATAAGACCCGAGCAGCTGAAGTACACGACGACTCACTGAATGTAATAATGTTGAACCGATCCGGCTATTTTTTCGTCTTATAGACAAAACAGTTAACATGAAAGTCAAATTTCTTGTGCTCTGACAAACTGTGAGGAAATGCCAAGCAAACTTTGACCAAAATTTCGAGATTTATTTCTTTTCAATTGAAAATTTGAATTCCCATTCCAGCCAAAATTATAAGAACCCTAAAAAACTAATTACAATTTAAAAGAACTGAAGTTGGCTTTATTCTTTAGAATTTGTTGTGGTGKCCATGTGAAAACGAAAATTTTTTTCGATATGTTTATATTAAGACCATGCAAGTGCCCCAAACTGTTATCAAAGAAACTGAGAAATTAAAGYACTAGTTTTGTCGATCGACTTACCATCAACGGGTCGACTTTTAACTGCTCCCACAAACGTTAAACATACAACAGAGAAAAGTCCCCACCACAAGGCAGCACGGAAGGTCATAATAGAGCCTTAGTTGTCGTTGAAAACGAGCAACTATAGCAAAACAGTTTTCAAACGTTTACACCTGCTACCGAAGTCGAGTTCTTTCCTTTGCCAAAAAAATAAGGCTTCAATGTTTACTTATTTGCCTGCGAATGATTGGATCTCACCGATAGCTTGAAAGGCAACTCGCTCATTTAATATTCACAGGCAAAGTCAATACAAATTTTGACATGATAATGGTCAATGGCAGAAATTCACTTTTAAAAGTAGATTAATGATTTTGTAACTAGGTCAGCTTTCACTGGTTGTAACCAAGGAGAGACAATTAATGACAATAAAAATACTTTGAACAAAGAAAACATAGCATGCACACAAGGCAAAACAATAACATGAAATTATTTTATTCACAAAACTTTTTATTTCTTTTTAAAACATTTCGAGAACATTCATTATATGAAACGTTTGCAAATAGGAAATGGAGACTCGCCTTATTTTCGACCTTATTTGGTCAACGAGTTGAACATCAGTGTCGATCGTCTATTATAATCACCGTACTTTTTTTATAATGAAAACTTTTACATGTTAACTTTGGCTACACACAGCGAAGTTCAATCATAGAAAGAAATTAAAAATTCATTCATGCCTTTATATTTTAAACAATAATARATTGCAACATGGCAGAACTCAGAATAAGACGTCATTGTATCAAGGTAGTTTATCAATTAATATTTCACTTCTTTGATCTCGCTTATGATCCGTTGTCGACCCACGGACTCTTTCGGACATATTATTACGCTACATAATTTTAAAACGGCAAAACAAGAAGATTCTCATCTCAATATTGGTGGTCTATTGACTGACAAATTTGAAGTGGAATATTGTGATGTTTGAAATGCTTCTGTTAARAACCCGGMTGGRGTTAAAAATTAAAGTCACATCTATTGTTTTATTTTCATATTATTGTCATTTACATTCAAAAAACACAAAGCCTTATCGCTTCCTTAGGATAATTCCGTATCTTTCTTTTCTATTTTTGAACTTCTTTTTTAGAATAGAATAGAAGCTTTATTTATTTACATGGTAGCAAAAATTGCTAAATTGCGTACAAAACTACTTAAAAAATATGTGATAATAATAATAATAATAATAATAACAATAAAACTATAATATACATTATAGTTTTTGACGCTTGTCAAAAACCGAGAAAAGAAGAGAAACTGCGTCTTTATCTGCGCCGGGAAAAACAGACAGGTAATATCGCAAATATTGTGGGAAAATAATTGCACTTCCTAAAAATACTGAACATCGTAGCTTAATACATGTTAATACCGCCGAAGAAAATTCAGAACAGAGCGACAATAAATTAAAATTACGAAATGAGCCAGAAGAAACAAGAAAAACAAAACGAAAATATAAAGGGAAAATAAATTAAAAAATAGATGGTTTTCCTGTGGTGTAGAGATCGCGAGCGACTGGGTTGACGAGTTTCCAATGCATTCTGGGTATATATTGCCATAGTAACAGCCGCAAAGCAAACTTTCAGTATGTATAAAGAAACAGCAACAAGACTCTTCGCATAAATACTGAAAATTAGAGATTTAAACACCTTATACTGAACACAGCTACATTAGAGAGATGTATAAACTTGATCTCCCGGTGGATCTCAAAGAAAATGCGGCMATTGAGCGAAGGCGTAATAGAGAAATGCAGAGACAGAGTCGGATTTTTAATGCCCGTGTTCGAACCATCGGAGTAAGTATGCCTATGAATTTTACTTCAATCTGTGAGCTTTATATTGCCTCAATTCTTCATGTGGAATTAAACCTTGTTATATAACTATATATATCATACATAGGCTGTTATTTTATTAGGAGGTCTCCTTTATGTTCTCATAACTCGAGTACTTCGAAAAGACCCCCAACCAGAAACTCGAATCATAAGCTTATCATAATTTCATCGCTTCTTGCTTAGATTGATGTCCARGCTTTAGAAGGGCAAGTCATGGATAGGAAAAGGCAAGAAGAAGAAGAAAGAAGAAGACACAATGCCTTCGGTAAATGACATTTGATTAAAACATTTTGGTGTAGTGTACCACAAACAAGTAGTAGTAGTCATTGCATTTTAAATGTTATGATACAAGCTTATCACTTATTCCCGTATTATAAATCTTTAGCTGCTGACATGACAAGAAATGACAAGATATGCGCATTGATGGAGAAGCGCCAAGAGCATGATATTAGGGAATTGAAGAAAGAATTGGTAACATTTCGTATGGAGCACCAGCGTCCAGAAGACACCCGTGAATGGGATTTRAATGATCCAGAATATCTTAAGAAAGACAAGCCTGCGAGAGTATCTGATGATGACCCAAGATGTGGTATCTCCTCTTTACAGAAGTTTATGGGAGAAGATTTGAACTCTAAAGACAGAAGTAAATTACAACAAGAACAATTGAGGTATAGTCTATTAATACTCGACAATCACTGCCATTTTATAATGTGTATATTCAATTTTTAGTATTTCACGTCAATTTGAACTCCAAACTTTGCCAAACACAAATTTCGTCAGATTTCAGTTGGTTTTGCAGGAAGATCTATTAAAAGCTATGTAAAGTTTGAAGTTTCGAATTGGCATGTAGAGTAAAATGTATCAAATTCTGAAATTCTGTGGGAGTAGTTATGTTCATAATATGTTATCATAATTCTTCTTTAAGGGAGTGGTCTAAGCAGCAGACGGAAGAGAAAAACCAATCAAAAGCAAATCAACAATATGCTGATCATCTTTATGAACTAAAGGCAAGAGAAATGGACCAGAGAGCCTGTGAATTAGCTCAAGCTGAAGAAGACTGCCGTCGTGCAATCAACATGGCAACCAAAGATTTTAATGATGCACTTAACAGGGAGAAAAAAACAAAAGAAGAACTTGCAAAACAGCAGGAACAAGATGACAACTTTACAGAAATCTCTAATCATGTGTTTGGGGATATGTTAACAGAAAATCCCGATGTTGCCCAGAGTGCATTTGGAGCTCAYAGAGTCATTACTGATAGATGGAAGGGAATGAGTCCRGCTCAGCTTGCAGAGATACGCTACATACAACAGAAACAGTTGGAAGAAAAAGAGGTTAGTTGATAACAGTCCTTTTGTAMTCTACTGGTTGCTCTTAAAAMTGAATTGTTGCCTTGTTAAATCCTATTGGTGTAACAGCCGTTTATATTTTAGCTTATATTATGTCTTGGCTTGTTGTTCATGAAAAATAGACATGTTAATAACTATTATTTCATTTTGATAGCGACTCAAACAAGAAGAAGAAGAAAAGCACAGAGAATATGAAAGACTTCTTCTGACCCAGGCCAAAGCTGGTATTTTAATGGAGAGAGAGCTTGAGAGAAAAAGAAAACAACTTGAAAAAGATCAAGCTTTGGAAAACCTCAGACTTTCAGCTGAACAAAAAGCACAGTAAGTCTACTGATATCATTGGAAAGCCAGAATAACAGCAACCATTAGAAATTCAATGCATTATTGTTTTGATAAGTAGACAAAAAGAATTAACAAGATTGTGTTTTGTATTTGCAGTCAAGATTAYRTCAACCAAGAAATCTAYTCAAACCAACCAACAGCAGCTTACTTCATGCAATTCAACACTTCAAGTCGATAAAACTTTTAAATTTGTACAGATTTTATTCACTTATATTGATGTATATTTGGTGGTTTGTGAAATGAAAAATAAACCATGTCAATGGCAAGATTGTGTTTAAAATTATAGTAAATAGTGCTTCACACTGCAAATAATGTACTTTAATAATTAGCATTAATTATGAAATGCCTTTTTTTATGATTCTAATAAAATGCGCCATTAATTTAAAAGTAATGTGTCATTAACTTAGAACACTCTAACCAGGGTCATTTGATGAATGGCCATTACATTGCAGTCTTCAGTTCAATTCAAGATATTGTAATGAGCGAGAGGGTAATTTGATTTCTAATGGTAATTTTTCTACTGTCTCCATCTCGTCCCGTTTTACTTATTTTTGACTCTTTGTTTTTATTTAGTTGCYGTGGGTCCTTCACTGTAACCATTTGATTTGTTGCATTAAGTCACATTGTGTAAATTGGCAACACTTCGTTGCATTTAGACTGCTGACCCAAGAAAATTGGTAAAAAGTTACTGACCAGGAGAACATTTGTAGTGTGAAGTAAATAAATGTAGATTCAGTAGACAGTGATATATTTGATAATAGTTAT